GACTTACAATCCCTTTAGTGACTTGGAATTAGATTTAAAATCCCTTCAGTGACTTGGAATTATACTTATAATCCCTTTAGTGACTTGGAATTATGCATACAATCCCTCAAGTGACTTGGAACTATTCTTACAATCCCTCAAGTGACTTGGAATTATACTTACAATCCCTCAAGTGACTTGGAATTATGCTTACAATCCCTCTAGTGACTTGGAATTATACTTACAATCCCTCAAGTGACTTGGAATTATATATTTCCAATCCCTTGAAATAAAAGAAGATTTATTGTGACAATATAACTCTTGTAAATATACTGTTTAGCAACTAGAAGAGAATATTTAAATAAATATTTGAAAATTGTAAATATATTTACATCCTAATATTTGTTAAAAACATATAAATTATTCACAAGATAAAATATATTTGCCAGGTAGAAACCACACTGTATAGAAATATGAAATACTGGTAAATTGATACAGATTCTACACTGAAAAGGAAAAAGAAAGATTTACATTTAGATAAACTAAGAAAAATAAATCAAACGAGGGAAATGTGAAATATATGGTTTATATATATATATATATATAAAGGGGAGAGTAGGTTTAAAATTATAGCAAAATATAAATATTTTAACTTGAATTAGAAAAAATAAAAGCATGTGTTTTAAATTTTCATTGAAGTTGATGAGAATTTGCCAATTACACCAAGTGCTTTATATAGTTCTAAAATGTCATTTCTAAAGCTACACAAAATGTCATTTGAGGGCCATAGGGCCCAAAAGTTAATACAATTTTTTTAAAACCCCTGTTAATAAATTTTGGATTATGAATGAGATAATTGACAATTTTTTATCATCTTTTCTTTTCATGTTCAAGATTCTTGGTTTTCAGTTTTTTTTTTCGAGTAGTTTGGGGTGGGAGGTAGTGTTTTTTTTTATTTGATAATCCCTCTAATTGTAATATGAAATATCAGAACGGTATCCTTGAGCAACAATAAAACAAGAATAACTTTGACAATTTCATAAACTACCTATATGCTGCATAATTTTCCAACTCCCTTTTGTATTAAACCATGAAAATAAAAAATCACAGCTAGAAAAGCAAGGATATATCATTCATTCTTTATCAGATAGTAAAAGGGTAAATCGGACATGCCCCTTCGTGTACAACATTTATTTAAAATATGAAAGGGGTTGGGGGGGGGGCGTTAAGAGGGAAGGGGGATGGGGGGAGAGACAAAGATTAACAAAGTTTTATCTTAACTTTAAGTTTAAGTTTGAATTCTGATTTTCTGAATCAATCTTCAATACTTCGAATATATTCTGTTTTCAGGTGAATTTCCTGGGCTTTGTTTCGTAGTTTGAATATCACTCAAACAATATTTTTAAAGGGACTGTACGCACAATTGTAAATGACCATCTAGGCAAAGATTCACAACGCGACCCTTAAAAGCATTCTCTGATCCAATATGAATTAGATATCAATGTTTTATAATTTTTAAAATGATTAATTTCAATCGTGATTTCTCTAAATGGACTTGCGTGCGCATTTCTACTGCAGAAAAACAAAAAGAATTTATCTGAGTTAAACACCTTTTAAGTCTATAAAACAACTATATCTTTCACATTTATACTGACCAGGTTTCAAGGGTACCATTGTGAAAGTAAACTGCAAGTAAAGTCTATAAAGTGTGTTTCTCATTATTTTCCAATTATGGTTGCATTCTATTTATTGCAGAAATAAAAGAAATCCCACGTTTCTCCCGTTATCTCATATAAATAGTAGTTTCGCAAACGTTATACATTAAATTTCACATTACTTACATTGTAATTCCAACCCAATGTAATTCCAATGCAATGTAATTCCAACGCAATGTAATTCCAACGCAATGTTAACACGAAAAGGACCTTATTGCAGAGTCATTTTCAATCAAATTCAAGTTTATCCTGGTGAAAGTAAACTGCAAGTAAAGTCTATAAAGTGTGTTTCTCATTATTTTCCAATTATGGTTGCATTCTATTTATTGCAGAAATAAAAGCAATCCCACGTTTCTCCCGTTATCTCATATAAATAGTAGTTTCGCAAACGTTATACATTAAATTTCATATTACTTACATTGTAATTCCAACGCAATGTAATTCCAATGCAATGTAATTCCAACGCAATGTAAACACGAAAAGGGCCTTATTGCAGAGACATTTTCAATCAAATTCAAGTTTATCCTGCCNCTATTTATCTTTACCTTCTCTAAATCTAATGTATTTTTTATATATATATATATTTGTAAATAAACAAAAATCTGAAAATAGTCTTCCATAAATACTTTCTTCCGTAACAGAAAAAAGTTTTTAAAAAATGGAAATATTAACTATAGAATTTCATCATACAGATTTAGGGCGCTTTGCCATAATATTTCATTGTAATTTTTAATTTCTGATTCAGTTTTCAGTTTCTATGCTTTAAAAAATTGCTTTATGGTAACCATGAAGTTTTAAATTTAAAATATGACTGTTTTTTTAAAGGGGGAGGGGTTAATTTTAAAAATATGAGGTTTGTACCACGCACCCCTGCCCCTTCAGTAAAAGTAAATTCAACCTAAAGTCTGACCGCGTCAACCTTGTTGCACCGGCTAGTCCTATTGAGTGTCTGCTTCATTTACCCAATGTCTGGGCGATACAGTACAATCTGTAACCGGAAAGGTTGACCCGTCTCAGAAATTCAAATGTACTACGGCTGCCCGTGGTACGGATGTCCGATCGCAACTCAAAAACCCTTTGACCGATTTGCCTTAAATTTTACATTGGAACTCGTTAGAACCACAAGAATGTTCCAAGCTAGGTTTGAAATTTGAATTAGAGTTCCAGGCAAAGCTGGGTTCCCAATAAAGAAAAACAATATAAAGATGAAAATAATAAAGCAGAGGCCGAATTTAAAGAATTTAAGCCGCAGCTCAAGTACGGTTGGTTCCACTTAAAATTGTATTCAATTTTTCAAGATTTAAGCCGGCGCTCAATGGAAACCGGTTTTTGGGGGATTTGAGACGGTGCTTAAATTCATTAAATTCGGACACTGGTTCTTCGTGTTCTTGGAAAACATGGTTTTCTCTTAGATAAATATAAAGATGAATAGAAACTAAACAAGTTTTGATTTATTCTAAAAGGTTAACATCTAGGTGGAGAGGTTCTAACTACAAGAAATATCTCTGGCTGATTTATTGGCGTGAAAACTTTTATTATTCCTGAAGCTAAACTTTTAGTTGGGATGTCGCTAAACCGTACACAGTTTGAGGATTAAGTATAATTCCGAGTCCGGATATATAAGAAAAATTTCGTCTTGAAATATATAGCTTGTGAAGCCAGCTTTGCAATTTTTTTCTACATTTTCTATATATACTAGACTAAACCAAGTTAGGAACATTTCCGTGGCTGAAATCATTTCAATATTACAAACTTTTTGTTCGAAACTGCGAAGAGAATTTTATGGATACGAATTTTTCCTAATAGTCTTTTTATTGTTTCCAACAAAATATTTTTAGTATTTTTTACACGGAAAACGCACTTGTTTCGTTTGAAACAAACAAAAAATTCGATGATATTACAAAACAGATTCTACTTAAGAGTGGGGGACATTTTATAGTTTCAGCCGCCATATTTATCAAACATGGTGATGTTTCACTTAAAATTGCTTGGCTTAATCGAAATAATAAATGAAAGCAAATATTGTACAGGTTCTGCTGTGCTATAGATAAAAATTGCGTCTTAATTACTACGATGAATTAAAACCCTTTAAAGGGACAGACCGGCTATTTAAGGTAATTATACTGAGTATGCAGTGTTGTTGACAACTTCTTTAGGATTCATTTAAGACATATAAAACGTTTCCACGATGCATAATTACTGAGTTTAAGCGCAAAGTCGACGTTCAAAATTATGAATATGGGTGGTACGTACGAACAGTTTAGTAAAAATTCTGTAGTAAACTAATTAGACGTTTAGGAACATATTTCTCAAAAGAAATTTGTCAATAAATCAATGTTAGAATTAATTATTTCCTTTTTCATCATTATATTGAATTTCTATTTTTCTATGAATTTGTTCGCATATTTCTTCAAATTAATCAAATGTCGTCTTTTTTAATAGAAATTCCAGAAAATCAGCAGAGAATCTTTGTGATTAAAGAGAGATTTTAGAAACTAATAATTTAATAAGATTACTTATTTTCGTTGATAAGAGTTATTTTCTATTTTCTCAACCTGTTCCTAAACAACCAATTAGTTTACTGTAGAATTTTGTTTCCAACTGAATAGTTTTTGTGCAAGGGAGGGTTTGAAATAAATGCCAAAAAAGCCAGAAAAATGAAAAAAGTATTTTTGTTTTATTTATAAAAAATATCAAAGTGTGACACATGTTTCTACATATATTTTTCCAAGGGCTTTTTAAAAATATAGTTTTTAGATCTGTAGCTTTAGTCACTAAAAAGTTATAAGATATTTTAGATTTTTTTTCAAAGACCGAACTTTTTTCTGCCCGGTACCCAACCCTTTGCATTAAAAAAAATCCTTTAAATTTCTATTCATTTTAAGTCACAAATTTTCAAAATGATATTGTCAAAAAAACGCCCCCTCCCCCGCAGAAGTTTCTTATTCGCAGTAATATTGCGTTGAAGACGAAGTTCTGAAATCCGGTAATTTCCTGTAAAAAAAGCTATAAACTAAACCTATACGTTATTTTTGCAATCTATTCGTCTCCAGTGTATACCTATGTAATCTCTGACCTCCAGGATCCATTCATGGATAAATATATGAACGGGAAAAGTAATTATAACTTAAAATCATTATAAATCAATGCAGGCTACAATTGATGAAATGTTTCAGTTTGTAAATGAAAATATTTCAGAATACATTTAAATTGTTCATTCTCATCATGAAACACAAGACATATGCATCTTTAAAGGAAGATTTTGACAAAAACCTCTTAACTCCCTAAGCCCCTAAAATAACTTACTGTGATTTCTAGACATGTCATGAATGCAAGAAAGATTGTAAACAACCGTTTTTCTAGGCAGGGAGGAACGGTGTGCCTGTAAAATTATTATTCATTAATTTACAATTAACCAAATTCTTAGATTCTAACATTCTGTAGAATTTCCTTTTTAAACTTGAATATTTTATAAAAGGTTCCTTTAAACAACATTTTTGGTGTAAAATCTCTTTAAACTCTGATATTCTGTAGACGGTGTAAAATATACTGGTTATATCAAACAATACTGGATCCCTTTAAACTCTAGTATTCTGTAGACTAGTGCAAAATATACTGGTTAGTATCATACAATACTGGATCCCTATAAAGTCCTTTGAAGTTTGAGCCTCTAATTCTACAAAGAAATCTTTTCTTTCAAATAAAAAACTTAAACTTCAACATTTCGGAGTTACAGGGCACCCTGAACTAATCAGGGCTTCCGGCTTTTATCAATTTGATTACAATCTTGCTTCTGTCTGTCTAAAATTTAGTGATATTAAAATTTACAGAGTTACGTTTTCCTAATTTTCACTAAAAACGCACCAAACAAAAATAGTTAATAAAGAAAACAATGTTTAGTTTGTCAAAATGGAATCGAAAGTGGCAGCTTTCTGGCACTAGAACCGAATCATTAAACAGCGTGAGGAATACCCACAAATGATGATAATGTAAAGACGACCTTAAAATCTCAAAATATGACGAATTATATGATCTGCCTTGAATAAAGTCTGTTAAAGGCTTATTTTATGATATGGTAAAGAACGAACCCTGTTTACAGTTACAGTTCTGCGATGAACTTAAAAATTGTTGGCTTCATTAATATCATTCAGTTTAAAAATTAACGGTTATTTCTTAATTTGCCATTACTCTCCAACGGATTCAATCCATCCCATTATTTAAATTCTAAAAAAAGAATTCCAAGAAGATTTTAAATATTCTTCCGATGTTTTGAAGTGACAGTTTTCACAAACTTTAACAAAATCTTCAAAACTTTTCACAGTTTGTTGAGAATATTAAACTATCCAGATAATGTTCACAGAATTCAAATCTTTGAATCATAGATTAATTAACAATACAGATAAAAGACTAGATGTCGTCTTTTCAAGATTTATTTTTAACGAAATTCACAATAACCCTGAGGCAGAAGCCCAAAGGAGTTACGCGCATGCTCTCTCGCTGTATTGTCATTCAACACAGCCTGCGCGTTACTCCTCTGGGTTATTGTGACCGAAAAACCCTGAAATCTTAAAAAGGCGGCATCTAGTGTTCTATCTGTATTTTTATTAATCTATTTGAAAACTTTATTTGAAAAAAGCTAGAAAAGAAAATAACGAGCTATTCCACTCAATCTCTGACTTTCTAATTCCCGCATTTTTGCAACATGAACATGGGAACCTATTTTTGCAACATGAACATGGGAACCTATTTTTCAACATGAACATGGGAACCTATTTTTGCAACATGAACATGGGAACCT